TTTTCCTGATATTGTCAAGACGAAACTCGGGCTAGATCTTAGACAGTCAAACGATCAATTGGTCTGTTTCATTTACAACAAAATATCATGATACATGCTTCAAAATGGTGAAAAAATTATTACAATATCTTTTAATGTTTGAGAGTAATCAAAGATTTTAAAAAAAGGAAGCTACTTGTCAGACACTCTGTATACTATTTTTGCTGAAGATTTTTTTGAAAAATATTTTACTATATCTTCAATAACACCAGCATTGCGAGCCTGTTGAACAAGTGTCTCTGAACCTAAAAGTGGTTCCCAATAACGAACTACATAATCGACAGGATTTTCTTGAATAATACCAAGGTTTTGGCATTGTCGGACTGTGCGTGCTTCATCATCTCCATACACAACAATTGTATTACGCGGTTTCGAGGATTTTGTAGCAGAAGGAGCAGTTTCAACAATTGTATAACGTTCAGGTCGAGGTTCATAGGAAACCCATCGTTCAGTTACAATATCGCCTAAATTGAAAAGAAATAGCAATCTGAAATTAAGAAAAACAAAAGGAAACCGAAGATAATTCTTTTACGTGGTTCTTCTGGAAGAGTTGAAAAGTGCTCGATGCCAGCTGATCGTGGTCGAACAGGTATAGCAGATGAATAACGAGTAACTGTAAAATAAAATACATGGATCAATCTAAACTATGTAATTTAAATTCGTTTTTCTTTTTAACTTGTTTCATTGGAACTATATGGCGGTGACGTGGGTGGCCGTTCACGGAAGATAAGTGACGATGGTGAACAAAGAGATGATACATGTTTGCGTATGCAAAGTGATCGATGTGATGGTAGTTGTGATAGGCGCACTTCTTTAATAATGAGTGGCTAAAATTATACAAAGATTAGTAAGATTGAATTTGTAAGCATTTATGTCATTACTCCTGGTGGTGGCGGAGCTGGTGGTTGAAGATATCTAACAAAAATTCGTTGTTCATATGCTGCTGGATGGTCCGTTGTTGCTAGTTGAATAATTTGTGGATTAGGATCCTTATAGATATTGTTAGCTGATCTTTCAAGATATTCATTTGTTTCTTCCAAACTATTTGTATGAACCACCGTATCATCAATCAACTCCCTAGCTACTGTTGTAGTTTCATATGGAGTATATTTATCAGCCGTAGATTCCGAAGTATTCGGACAATTAACTTTGTAGTCATTTAGATCAAAATGACTGCTGATATTATCATTAAAATTATGTTCAGTAGTACAAAATTCATATGATGTAGAAGGCAATTCTTCTGCATTGGAAATCCATTGATGCAGTTCATTTTTATAAATACTAAATATGTATGTATGAATTTATTATTTTAATAAAAATTCTTAATTCCTACTTTCCATCTCGATTTGTATCAATTTGTTCATATATAGCGTTAACTGCATCACGTTCTGCCATTTTTTCAAATCGATAAAATAGAAATAAATTCCTAAAATAAAAAAAAAAAATTATGATCATTAATATATATATTTACTATAAAAATATCTGATGATAAATCAAGCATGAACGACATCATACATAAATACAAATATCAGATACTTATTTTATAATATCAAAAGTATTCTTATTCATATTCTTTTTACTTTGTTGATAAAAAAAATATAAGTATTAATGAAACAAAAACAAAAACGTATAAATCGTTGTCGTATTATTCTTACAAATAGTTCTTGAAGGTTAGAATATCACTATGAGAATATTGTAAGAAAAGAAGAAGAAGAGTCCTTTATTAAATGAAATGAAGAAAAATTATTTCATTTAGAATTCAAAAAGAAGTATATGAAAATTAACAAATTTTATTGGTTTAACATTATTTTTTATTATTTGAAATAAAATACCTTTTCTTTAAATCATATATACAACTAATCAATTTAGCCTTGATTCTTTACCAAGGTTACTTTTCTGAATAAATACTTTAATATGTTCAAGTGTGATAACTCAAGCTGACACGTTAACGATCAAAAGCATGTTTAAACACTACACTTCATAAAATGTTTGATTAGTCGTCAACAACGCGTTAGAGCACTTTAAGATTAATATGTTTATAAGCAATTTGTTTAAATAAGGAATCGACCAATATATGACGAGTCCCACAAATCGATATACAAAAATGTTTTTTTTTAAATAACTTCGTAATTGATAGACCTTTATCAACAGACTTTTCTCGTATGATAGGTGATAAGATCAAGTTTTTATTTCTATAGACAATCTATTAAAATGCTCTTCACAGTAATTACCGTCAGTCAAGATAAATAAATTCAACATTTTTGTTTGGTTTCATTATAATATTTCGCAATGTTCGTTTTTTAATTACTTCAATTTCTAGATTAATTCTGATCTTTGAATTGTTAAAACCTCAGACAGTCATTTTACATCAATTTGCTTTGATGTTTACTCGTGTAAAAAAACAAACATTGTAAAATATTATTATAGAATCGAAAAAAAGTTGAATTTTTGTAACTCGACTAATGATAATTATTTTAAAGAGAACTTTCAATGATTGTCTATAGAAAAAAAGGATAGTCCTACTGTTGAAACTTTGGGAAGGTGTAAAAAAACTTTTTCGTGATACTCATGCAAGAAAATTGAAGATTAAAATCAGATTAAATTCGATTAAAAAATGATTGAAAATCAAACAATATCCAAAAAAAATTCATAGTTATTTTTTATTATTACGATTGTTCTCGATTGTAATTGATTAAAGATTAATGAAAAACATCGATTATTTCTTCACAATACATGACAAATCTTTATCTAATATTCGTTGGTCGACCTAAACTATAATTGCTTTTTTATCAAATTTCAATCGAAATTAATCGTTTTAATTAATGGAATCATAATTGTTTGGTTACTTTCGAGTGAACTCGACTAAAAATACATGATTCTAATCTATCTAAGAAATTTCTAAGTATTTTCCGTAGAGAGTACAGTTGGATTATACTTATGATATGAATGAAACATGAAAGATGCTAAAAAAGGCATATCGAAGTGTATCAGAGAAGAAGTCAATAAGTAAAAAGAGAGATATGTAGAAAAACTGTGCGTTGATCAAGATTAAGAGAAGCTTTCACGTTTCTGCTGACTGAATGTTTTTATTCTTATTTTCGCTATTCACTATATAAGAAAATTTTTCAATTGAAGAGTACTCAGTTAGAAAAAACTCGATTGCATCTTCATTTATTCAAAGAAAAAATAAATTATATAAGTTTCAAAAAAGTTCTCAATGATGACAATTATTTATGCAAACTTACACTTTCTAAAACTTTCAATGAACTAAAACTTCTCTTAATTAAGACTTACGTCTTCGAAAGGTTAAATCATCACTAAATACTAGTTACGAAACTCCCTAAAAGTATTTGCAACCTTGAGGAATACTCGATAAACGAAGCTCTTCAGACATGAAAGCTTGCTAACATATTGTTCAAGCTATAAACCAGAGAATTTTCATATCAACTATGAGTTTATATGCATTACTCGTCACAAAGCGCAAAAACTTCAAATTTGATTGTGCATGATCTTAAACAAAGATCATTTATTTTGTTTTTTAAAAAAAAAATTCAGCGAATTCTTAGAGTTTATGTTGTTCAAGTTTTTTTGGAATAATAACAATAATGAAAATTTTCAATTATTGAGGGCATGTTCCACCCCTCAGTCTGCCTATACCTGAGAACAAGATTGTCTTCTCATATTAGGAAACAATTTCTACTAATTGTCTCAAAAATTGAAACTTAGTCACATTTGTTCTATTTACCTTTTTACTTTAAATATTGTTTTTTTTTTGAAAAAATGTCAATATGAATTTTTTCTGTCTCACATGTTACCTAGTTAAATTCTCAAGTATCATTTGCAATATCCGATTGCATAACAGTAAAGTAATAAATAATCTGTTATTAAAATATTTAATGTCTATTCTTTGTATACTAAAAGACTCAAGTTTCATATTTATCATAACTGACGAATTGTATTTTTGGATAAATAAATATTTAAAAATTCAGATCAATTCAAGGATTGTCTAGAGAAAATGGAAGCGAGCAATCATTTAACATGTTTTTAATGCTGAAGATAAATTCTGAAGAAAAACCACGGTTATCAGCGATTTTTAGAAACCGTAAAAATTAGACCGTTTGTTCGGTTTTTTGAAACCGTCAGTTACGGCGGATTTTCATCAGTTTGCAAAAACGGAATAAACGATCTGATTTTCACGGTTGATTTAAACGTGTCTAAGTCAACTGACCTTGCTCAGGATGCCAGATCTACCTAAAGTATATCCAAAGCCAAGGTGATTTGCATTTCGAGAGAAGATGCAATTAGCTTTTACAAGTCCCATTAGCACAATGTCACTTTGCATTGAGAGATAAACTAACACATTTGTTTCAAGCCTCTTAAAAACAATTATGTACAAAATGCACATTGATATCAAAAACTGCGGCTTGTCACGTGAAAATTCCCAAGTTTTATGAAAAACTATCTTTACAAAAAAACTGATGACATGAATCATGATTACGTCTGTAGCTATACTCTCGATATTTGATACTTTAAAAAGCTGCAAGATGAGATAATGTGATTACAATCGAGGTCAACGCGATTTTTAAAAGTACCATTTGTAGGGATATCGAATACCACGATTATAAAAACAATACCGCAGTTTTATTGAGTAATAGCGATGTAAGATTCGAAAAACCCTCAAGAACTTTAGATATCGTAAATTGTGGAAGAAAAAAGCTCAAAATAATCAGAATTTCGATTTCTTATTGCTTAAACAAGCAAATCTTAGAGATGTGCAACAAGAAGTACAATCAACAGGATAATAATTAACAAAATAATAAAATTAGGAATCAATCTGTCTACAATAAGTACAAATTCGTTCGAAGTATGTATATACGTTGAAGTAGTTAGTCTTAGTCTAATATAAAACAAGGGCTTCAAAAAATTTCAGGACTCAATAAAAGATTTATTGCATTCTCAAATTGGTTTTACAGGAGACCATTCTATTCTTTGTGGTGCTGGTGCATCGTCTCTACTCAAAACCGCATTTGTCAATTAACATACCGCAGTATATGAAACCAGAAACTACCGTGATATCTGATACCACGGTTCTCGTAGAGATTACCACGATATTTGATACTACGATTCTCAGTGAGATTACAGTGATACTCGAAACTGCCATATACTGTGACGTCTAGTACCGCGGTTATTCCTCGGCACACCGCGATTTTCATACAACGTGACCAACCGTGATTCTGTTGGGTGATACTGCAGTGGGCTTTAAAGAATCGCGGTCTACAGCGGTTTTTTCAAGAACTTTTCTGTAGGTTCAAATGTGCATTACCTATACTGAATCGTAAATGCATTGTAACTATTAGCGTAAACTGAAGTTAATAGCTAGCCTAAGCAAATACTGTTTAAATGAAAGGAAGCACAAGTAAACATGTGAAAATGAAAGAATTGGTGGTGGAAAGAGAGAAAAAACTGATGTTTTTTTGTGAGCTGAGTGGAATAACAGGACAGAACGACAGCAAAACTGTTTTGAAAGTAGGTGAATGATGAGCTAGGCTTCTATCAGATGAAAACAAAAAAGCTATATATAATAAGAAAACACTAATTCTTGAAATTAAATGAAACGAAGTAATGTGAACTTACCTATTTTTTACCAAATTATAAGCAATCAGAGAGAAGACTGAAGTAATTCTTTTCTTTGATCATGCATTTCACTCACATACATATATATTCACTTTAAAAAGAGAGAAAAGAGAAAGAGTTACGATATCATATTATTCAAGAGAAGTGGAAGAATATACATATGTGTGAAAAAATCTTTCTACCCTCCCAAGTAAAATGACTTGGAAGGTGGAATAAGTGGGAAGGAAGAAAGACTTTTTTCGAGGACTTTTTGTAGTCAATACGATATGTTAGAATAGTGTTACAAGTTGTAGTTGTTGTTTACCATGTAAAGATTTAAGCATTATTATTATTCATTTGTTTTGCTGATATATTATAATGTACAATTAAACTAGAGTTGACATTCTTAAACATGTAGTACATTTAACTAATCTTGAACAATATGATATTACAATGTTCTTTGAAGAAACCAATATTATATCTGTTGTCGATAGTGTTATTAGGAAAAGCTATTCATTTGAGGTTTGCTGCAATTTCATATTTGTCCATTATATCAATTAGTAATAATAACTACCGTTCACTAGCATACGATAGCGATTCTAGGTACTGAGAACGTTACAATCATGTAAATCGTCAAGTTACAACTTATTTTTTTGATAATTACAACTTAACGAAAAAAGATCATATTTCAGCCAGCCAGTCAATTGGCAATTTGACGCGTCGATATTAGGTTGTTATGACCATCGAAATGTCAAGCGTACTCCTCGGATTCTCATTTTCCG